CTCCACACTGCTGCCGCCAGAGTGGTCGTGGGTTGGGTGTGGGCAGGCCAGGGGCTCCCCACAGTGAAACCTGCACCTGCTCGTTTCGGGAGCTGGGGTGCTCGGCGCGTGCTGGGGTGCGCCCTGTATGAGGACATTTTTCTGAACCGGCGTCTCTTCATTTCACCTGTGCGGCTTGGCGTGGCCTGCAGGTCTCCTCCCTATCGTGGAATGAAGCACCTGCGCCTGCTGGTGCCGAAGGAGGCCTGGGGCTCTGTCAGTGCTCCTGCCATTGCTCCTCCTTCCTCAGCCCCAGTCCTCTGCTTGACACCCTTGGGACACTCCCAACACCCTGGGGTGCTTCTGGTCAGGACACGCCTTGTGGAAAGAGCCCAGGAAGAAGACTTCCTGCTCGGGTGCAGGGTCTGAACCTGAATACTAGAGTCCATATGCTGTATTTTCTCCCCAGCAGATTAGATCTTCCATGATCACAAGTATAACAGCTGGGCCAAAATATTATCATCTCTACTGAGTCGTATCATCAGGAGCCCTGGACCCCCCTCTCGTTACCCTACTTGGTAACTTAGCTGATTTTGTCTATCTAAAGAGACATTTATACAACAGAACAAGTAGAGGTTTATTCCAGGCTGATAAGAGAAGAAAGAAAACTCAACATTTCGGCTGTGGAGGGTGTGTATACAACAGTACATTTCACTGGAGCAGTTCTCAGGGGTACAACAGCACTGTCTCAGCTGGGATCTGAGCTCACAGCCTCCCAGTTGTAAGTACAGAACCCTGACCACTGAGCCAGCCTGCCTCAGAAGCGAAATATTTAAAAAGGGTTAATGTTGTGGAATAAAAATGAGTCACAGGGAAGTGTACATCTACTAGTCCCACTCTGTTGTTTTAAAATGTACAATTAAATTGACTGCTTCACCTTTGTTTCAAAGTGAGTGCATCACTTTTGCAAACAGTAACGTCTCTCACGTGTCAGGACGAGACGATCCCGGCTCAGCCTGGGCTCAGCTCAGTAACGCAGCAGGAGCGCAGCCCTCTGCCCTCTTGATCTCCCTGCAGCAGACCTGTCTGTCCCTGGCAGAGAGGAGGCCTGCAGACCCTGCTGACTCTAAAATTAATCCCTTTCCAGTGCTGGGGCGGTTCACAGAACACTGAGCACATGGAACAGTACTGCACGTGCGCTGAGAAGGCTCTTGTTTTGGCGATTTCTTGGTAATTCCTGTGGGGGTGTGCTGAGGTGCTTCAGGCTGTTTCTGGGCCAGTGATGAGCCTCTCACACTCATTTTAGGCCGTCTTTCAGTGCACTAGGGGACCCAACTTTACCCACCTGCATTTGTGGGTCCTGGCGTCCCACAAACAGGAGAGGGAGAACGTATTTCTGCACCTGGCTGTGCTACAGTAGTACTGAAATAACTGCTCTCCTCAGAAAGCTCTTCCTTTGCTCATGTTAATACCTGTTTAATCTCCAAGCTTATTTATGCGTGCATAGAATTTAGCACAGCTCGTTTGTTTATGGCGAAGTCGAGGACGGGAGCTGTTATGCAGGTTGAGAAAGGGAAGACATTTTGTGGTAACTGCCTGCACCTGCTCCCTCGGTCCTCTTTGAAAACAAATGAGCAGCCTGGACAGTCTGTCAAAGGAACCACACTTTACTTAAATGGGCTCACCGCCCTCCTTTGCAAAGTTCAAAGCCCCTTCCTTACTATTTCTGTCGAACTGTGACTCAGTGCTGCGGAAGGATGAGAGGAACGTTTACTCCCGGTTGAGTGCTGCCACCTGCTGTTAACGCAGGGTAGCACATGGTGATTTCCCTCACAGCCAGACAAGGCATGGGCTCCCTGGGCTGGCTGGTACACTGTGTCCATATAGGCTTTACAGCTGCTCAGATTGACATCGGCCAGGTCTTTACTGATAGAACTAAGGCTTCTGCTTTAATTGGTGTTTTTCACAAATAATGTAAATAATGCAAATAATGTTTTTGCACATTTGTAACATATTCATGTTAACTATTAACAGACTTTGCAGGTTTTTGGCCCTGTAAAGTTGTTGTTGTTGTAGATAGATACTTTATTGATCCCGTGAGGCAAACTGCAGTGCAACAGCAGCTTAGCAAGTCAACACAGCACAGTGTAACGAAACAATACAATAGTCAGTCCAGTCAGTCAGAAGCGCGGTAAAAGGTAAAAAA